GGTGTAGTCTCCAGGGTAGTGGGAAACAGTTCTATTTTCTACTACTTTCCTTTGCATTCTAGCTGAAAATACAGTAGTTCAAGACTGCTGGGGTTTTTTTTCAGGGTAGCACAGCTGTTGTTTAGTTTTGTCCATCCATCCTTTGTATCCTGTGAATCCATTCTTTGGTAGTCAAAAGCTTCTCATCAAAGCAGCTTAGCAGTGTTGTCTGCTTTGCTAGGTACTACTCCTGTGACTTGTATGTCTTGTCCCAGTTCCCAGGATTACTACTATCACTGCTGTAATTGCTCTCTCAATACGGGGACTAAAACTGGGTTAAAGAACAAAGCTGCACCATGCTGTTTCTCTTCTGAGCCAATTAAGTGACTAAAAGCACTCTCAAGTCCTGAAGCATGGTGCAAACCCAAGCGTTACCTGCCTGTAGCTAACAGAAATCTGGTAGGAATTTGTTTGGTCCATGCAGGTTTGATAGATTTCTGCCAAAAAGATGCAGCCTTTGTTTCATATCTCACATAAGCAAGATGAGCCTTGCAGGCTGGGTGCCATTCATCTACAGAAAAACTTAAGTGCTTTTGTACCTGATGTTGTACAACCATATGTCCATGGAACTGTTACGCTTGATTTGCCGGTTTAATTGCTACCAAGTACCTAAGGATCTTAACTAAAACTGATTTATGAAGTCTTACAATACCTACACAATTTTTGCTTTTGTGGATCGTAGGATGAATCCTAGAAGGGTTTGGGTTGGAAAGGACCCTAAAGCTACTCTAGTTCCAACCACCTTTCCAGGTTGCTCCAAGCCCTGTCCAACCTGGATCATTCATGGTTGTTTTTATTTTTGGAAGCTTTTCATAACCTGCAGAGGAAATGAGCTTTATGTAGTTACACTTTTACCTCTTTCTCCTCAATTAACTTTTGAACCATCTTACCATGTTTTTCTTTATCTCAGAAATCCCAAAGCCTTTTGTGCTATTGTGGAGCAGAAAGACCAAAGAAAGCTTGAAGTTATTGCAGAACTAGGTGAGGAATATGGGATGCAAATCTTCAGGAAACAGACTTTTAACATTCTACAGCTTGTAGAGCAATTTGTAAACTTTACTACCATTGCTGGGTTTACTCTTAGTAGAAGTCAAGACAGGTTTTTCTTGGTGTAACTTGATTCAGTTGGGTTATAACAACTGTAAGACAACAGAAAGCACCTATGCTTAGAGCCATTGTTATCTCTTTGCTGTCACTGCCATTCCCAGTAGGGGATGGGGAGCACTTATACCAGGCTGACTAATTTAGGAATGACAGCTGTTTGGAAATAATCATTCTACTTTTGCAAGAGCTGTGAGCAAGTGAACAAGAATTTCTGGAAAAAAATGAACTTATAAATGGGATTAATTGGCAATATTTAGAAGTTATGAAGTTATGCTTCCACTGTGAGAAACTGCTAGGCTCTGGTGGTAAAAAACCAAGCCCGTTCTTTCAGTCTGCAATTGTCACTCACTGGTATTGCAGGGGCTTGTGGCCTTGCCAGAGGTACTGGAATAAGAGGTCTTGCTTATGTTCATCAGCAGAGCTACAGGGAGATGATGTGAAGTCTATGTTAATGCCACTTTAAAGCTACTTGGGGAATCTGTGGAGGTGGCCAGCAAGGTAGCTTTATGTAGAGGTTGGGTGGGGCAAACAAGGTAGAGGTCAAGAGAGGGCAACAGCATGATGAAGGGAAGAGTTGCACTAGCAGATGCTTATCTTTCTTGTTGCACAAGAGCTGGAGGCCTTCCTGAACAAGAATTAGTGACACCGGCTGTTAGGAATTCGGAAATTCTTTTGCCGAGTGCTGTGGATGTATAGCACAGATGAGAGATGTCTAATTGCTTCTTCCAGACAACAGGATGGGATCCACTTGGTCATCTTTTAGTCTTCAATTAGTAGGCTTGAGTGCTTCAGAGACACACAAGAGGAAAATTTTTCCCAAGGAGAACAATCAGCCATTGGAATAATCTCCCCAAGGGAAGTGATGGATTCCGCAACACTGGATGCTTTCAAGATTTGGCTGGACAAGGGTGCTGGGGCATCTAGACTAGGTCATGCTTTGCCTAGAAAGATTGGACCAGATGATCCCTGAGGTCCCTTCCAACCTGGGATTCTATGATTCTACGACTCATTATAGTCTGGGTTAGGTTGTATGTGATCTGGGAGTGATCCCCAAAATTAAGTGTTGAAGATGGAAGCAGAGCAAATTTATTAGGTAGAGCAGATATAATAGGGAAATTAAGCTGTATATTTGGGATTAGAAAGGGAAAGAATGAAGGATTAAACCTCTCAATCTCTAAAGTACACTAAGAAAATCTGGAGTGAGTTTAGGTTTTTTAAAGCACTGTAGAAGTAGATACAGCTATCTACTTCTTGCTTCAATACCTAAATGCAGTGTTAAATTTCCAGCCTAAAAAGCAATCCGTGTAGACTGCCCTCGCATTGTTTGTGAGGGCCCAGATGTTGGAGAAATGGAAATATCCCTCAGCAGCAGTACTGCCTCTGCCAGGTCATCCATTTGTGGATCCAAGACACTATTGTCCTAGCCAAGACTGTGCTCTGATGCCCTGAAGGAAGAGGGACCAGTGGGTTGGTGCAGGAGAAACACAGTCCTCCCTTGTATCAGTGGACATGCCAAGGACGTAGCATCTTCCTAAAGCCTGCTACCCAGTTTTCTTTACCTAGGCAGCAGCAGAGGCACGGTAGAATTGAGTAGGTGCACACCAAAGCCAAGAACCTCCTCTGCAATCTGCCTAGTGTGGAAGTCTGGTTTTGGTGAAGTCTGTGTTCTTGCACACTTGGTGTTACAGTGCTGCTCTGCTACAGTTTTATTATATGTTCCTAGAATGAAAAGACATGATGTTCAGGAGACAGTTCTTAGCTTGCATCCAGGAAAAGCTAGCAGTGATCTCTGAGATGTTTCCTGATGAAGGAGCAGAAGAAAGCAATGGCAGAGTCTTTCCATGACCTACCAAAGGAAAGGTTGGTTGAGGCTAAATTGATCTAATGTGGGATTTCTGCTGAATAAGCTGACCCAAGCCATCCATGTTTGATATTCTCAAGGAGAGTTCCTGTTCCTTGTTCTTCGCTTACAAGATCAATGCACGTACTGTCTTCAACTGCAGAAGGGGTGAGATGTTCTGTACTCATTTAAGGACAAACTAATTGAAAACATTTTTAACAACATATAATCGCTGTAATCAATATTTCTACACATTCAAATTTAAACTAAAACAAAATTAACCCCCCCTGCGTAATTCCCTGGAGTCACATTAGCTTTCCAGAATAGCTTAACTGGTGTGGGCTAGTTGGGTACCAGTCAGGCTGCATCTGATTCCTGCTCCCTCTTGTGGCACCATGCGGTAGGAGAGCATCCTTCACACATCACCTGCACATCAGTGATAGTGCTGGTTGTGACCGGTGTGTAGTTGTGAATAACTGGAATGGCCATCAGGAGACTGTAATTCCAAAAATGCGGGAAGGGTGGTTTACTTTTCCAGTGTTACTGTTCTGTGTCCAGAAACACTTAAATATGTGTATCTGCAGAGTAACACAAAACCTTTACTGCTTTTGTCCATTGTTGGATTCCCCACTAGCCATTTTCTGAGCTTCTGTTTGTCATGTGCATCATAACTAGATAGACTCAAGATTTTTTCCATCACCCCCTATACATAATATTTATAATGTAATTTTTTGTGCACGTTCTTTCACAACTGTAAGGCAGAAAAGATCTGAGGTAGATTTCAGCCAGAGCAGTGCAGCCAGGTGGTGGAGAAAGCCTTGCCTAGAGGGATAATACTGTTAACTTTTCAAGTTTTCTGGTTTTGGTGTGGTATGTCCCTTATGCAGGAAAGAGGAGCTGAAAGAGTAAATGTTTTTGAGGTGAAATTGTCTTTTCAGTGGGGGCGGATGTAATTGTTAAGGGGTTAATCCCTACTCTCTGAAGGCAAGAGTAAAGGAATTGTGTGACTTATTCCATCATGTGTCTTACTTGAGTGTGTTGTTCCTCTTTCTGTTGAGACAGCTGATAGAGAGGAAGAAGGCTGAAATAAATACAGACAATGGTTTAAGGCACTCAGTTTTTCATGCCAGTTAGCTGGTATCTTCTGGGCACGAAGGATGGGTAGGACAGGGTTGGTGGGGAGCCAAATGAGCAGTAATTGCTTAGGTGTGGGGTACCATTAGGTGTGGGTAGAAATAGATGGTACTTGTGGTATGGACAGCAAGAAGGAGCAGATAATTAAGAAATAAAAAGGGAAGAAATGAGTGAAAGATTTTGAAAACCTGAGGTAAGCTTGAAAAGAAACACTTGCGTCTGAATGTCTAGAGAAGTTCTTACATCTCTTGAACAAAAGGGAAGGAAACAGTAGGGAGGAGCAGTTACAATATGGGGAGAGCACTGTAATTAAGTCAGGGCGAAGAAAGATGGTGACTGCCAAGGGTTATAGGACACAGACTGTGGCACTGAATTACAGAGACGTTCTGCAGAGAACGGTCCCTCCTCCCTGTGGTAAGCTTAGAGCTGGGGAAAAAATCATATTCTGTTGCTTGTAAGTAGTGAACAGTGATTTTATTTTCTTTCAACTAGATGTATGCAATTTAACTTTGGCAGAAAGTGCTGGTTGATTACTTTGACAGGTTTAATTACTTTGGCTTGAGTAGGATGAAAGTGAATTTATTTCCCAGTGAGAAAAGCGTTGAAAGGCTGCATGAAAACCTGTCAAAGGAAATTGAAGCGGGGTTGGGGAGTTATCTTTACAGTAAATGGAATTGATAAACATGTCAGTTAAAAGAGGAATTTATTTATAATATCCAGGTTCTGTGGCCAGAAATCTTCAATAATTCTGTTCACTGGGAAAATGAATTTTATCTGTTCAATTGATCTGCCTTTTCATAATGCTTGTAGAGCAAGGAATTGCCATGGAATAAAAAAGTGAAGTCATAATTCCTCTTTTTTCCCTTTTTTTGCCTAGAACACATCAGTAATGGAGGATCAGAATGAAGATGAGTCTCCAAAGAAAAATACCCTGTGGCAGGTAGGATTCACATTTGTGTAGAGAGAGTTGGCATGATTTTATATGTTTTTGCTTTTGAGAAACTTCCAAATCTTGCGTCTGCATAATCATCCTTGTACGTAGTTGACTGTATCATCCTAAAATTAGCTCAGCCTTCAAGTGAAGGATGATGCTGATGAATAATATTTGAGAAATTGCTAGGTCTTCTCAGATTTTGGAGTTTGTGCTGACTTTGAAAGGACAGTTCTGTGTCAAAGGATACTTGGGAATACAGTTCAACCTGTCTGAGCATGACTGTCATTTAAAAGGAAAAAATCAACACCTTCTCGTGGCAAGGATTTGTAACCAATTTGCTTTGAGGAAGTTTGGGAATAGTTCAGTGCTGACAGTTGTTCTCAGCAGCCCTCTTGGTCTCCTGAAGGGCTCAGAAGAGCCTGTCATCAATCTTTGGTTCTGTTTACTAATTAGCACTAAGTCCTGGGGTGGTGTTCTTATAGAATCCTTTTTCTAGCAAAAGCTCCCAGGATTTTAATGATGTTTCCATGTGCACATCCCAGATATTGTTATGAGCTGTCTTTCAAAAACAAAGCAAGCTCTTCACATCATGTAATTCTCAGTTTTCATTTGTGGACAAGCAGTTCAACACCGGCATGAGGGTCTTGAATTTTTGTGTTAATTTAAGTATTAATATCCAGCTTTGGTATGTCTCTGAATATGTATTATTTTAACTGCTGGAATTCGAGTAAATCATTTGTGGAGGCAGGCTGCGGTATACACCAGAGAGAAAACTGCAATATGCAGCAGAAACCACTGGTTTCATCTGGAGAAGTTTCTTCTAAAATGAATTAAGTTCCTTGCTGTTCACATGGTAGGAGGTGTAAGGGAATTCAAGCCTTTCTGTGTAACAAGTAACTTACACTAATGAGTAAAGTCCTTTCAATGATCTTTATGAAAGGTGGAATTCGTATGGGATAACCCATAGCTTGAAGACTATGTTTCAAAACTTAGGTTTGATTATTTCTTCTCACATATTATTCCTTGAGAGAGTTCTTATAAAGCTGTGCTATTGCTTGTATGTTAATACTGATACTCCTTTTCTAAAACCAGATAAGTAATGGAACTTCATCTGTGATTGTCTCAAGAAAAAGACCATCAGAAGGAAACTACGAAAAAGAAAAAGACTTGTGTATTAAATATTTTGACCAGTGGTCTGAATCAGATCAAGTTGAATTTGTGGAACACCTTATTTCACGAATGTGTCATTATCAGCATGGACATATTAACTCTTACTTGAAGCCCATGTTACAACGGGACTTCATCACTGCGTTACCAGGTAAAGTAGTATTTATTTTGCAAGAGGCTCATTTACAAATATTTCTTCTGATTAATGCTTTGGCTGTATGCAGACTTTTTGAAACATCCTCCAGATTTAGGTTGACTTGAATAAAGTGATGCTTTATAGTCAAAAGAAGGGCAAGAGGGTAGCTGAAGTCACTCACTTCTGCGATTAATTGAATTGGCCACTGGATGCCAGTGTTGTTCCGTGTAAAAGCAGTTTGAGTAGCATATCCTGAAGACAAGTTTGTGTTTAAATTGGAACTGTGTTGTCATGAAAGTTTTATGTCTGCAAGCTCTGGTCTAAATTCCTTTTTCATATGAACCCCATAGGTGTAGAAAATTCTATAGAGGTGTGTTTATTTATGAAGTCCTTTATGACATTTTAGTTTAGTTCTAAGTTTCCTAAGTCTTAAATAAAAAGCTGCCTGCCTAGGTGAGTGAGCCTAGTTTGTCTGGTCTTCTTACTGACTCCAGAGCAAAAGCAATTGTGGATTTTCATTGTATAGTCCAGCCATGATTCCTTCCAGTTGCTCAGGACTGCTTCTGCCACCCATCAGTGTAAACCTGGATCAATAGTTTGAATGTGAAACCTGTTCTTACAACTGCTGTATGCATTTCTTCCAACAAAAAAAAAAAGGAGCATTAATAACTATACATACAATTGTTAGCTTTAATCTCCTGCTCAGTTGTATATATTCCATTAATTTCTGGAAGGAATTGCATCCCAGGATTTTTGCTGCTGGAGAAGATGATTCATTTGATTCTTTGAAAGGTAAATGTGTAGATACTGTTTCCAGAGAGGGAAACAAGCATGAAATAAGTGGTCACAATGTTCTGCTTGCCACTGGCAGTATAACAGCACAGATTCACACCTACGAGTGAGTAGTCTGTAGATGTTACCCCAAAATGCCCAGACACAATAGTGAACACGGAAAGCAGATGAGGAAGTGATGCAAAGGAATTGGAAAACTGGGAACTTTTTGAGCACAGGAAGCACGAAAGTAAAGTTACTTTAAAGATTGGTCATATTACAAGCTCAGAAGCTTTTGTAAGCATTGGTGTGCTCAGGTGGTCTTGCATGATGAATCCCCTGGTGTCTGGGACAGATGCTGCTTGGATATTATGGATTCCTGTTCTCTGTAGCGCTGCTGTATTTTCATAAAACCTGGAGGAATTCAACTTTTTGAGGTGTTGGGGGGAATTTTGGCTCATCTGTCAAACATGGCTGAAATGAACTTCTGAGTAGTTGGAGAGCAAGGAAGAATGTACAGTAGGACACAGGGAGGGTATGGGGAATACACATGCATAACTGTGCTCCTCGTTTTAAGTGGAGAACTGTTTCCTTCAGGTAGGGTGGATGTTTCTTCCAACTTGTTTTAAAAATACTAAATGTTGATTTCTCCACAAAATAACTGGGATTCACTAAAAAATAGAGAGGACAGTCATGGTGATCGTAGAATTGCAGATTGGTTTGGGTTGGAAGGGACCTTAAAGCTCATCCAGTTCCAACCCCCTGCCATAGGCAGGGGGCACCCCCACC